TCAACGGGGTCTTTCCCCATACTCTTCTTTCTTTGTTTCGGAGAACTGACGGTGTTGAAACCTGAAGTTTAAACTTTTTTCTTTGAAATGTCATTTCTCTGGGTTATTTCCCATGTATACAGGAGGCATACACATTATCAAACTTCTGTTTGTGCTTTTGCTTGTTAACCTGTCTTTGTTACAGGGAGTCCTGGTTAAGAATTATGAAGGGTAGAAAGGATTACTTTTCTTTCCCTACAAGGTTCTACCCCATTCCCCCGACTCTTTTGAGGGAGTCAGTCCTAAATATCAGCTGAAGGGAATACCATATCCTATGAATCATTTGTTACGTCTTTTTGATCGTATTTTTAAAGCCTCTTTCTTCATATCTTCCCCTCAACAACTTGAACGTGCTTGTTTTCTGGCCCAGGCATAGGAAACGTATGCAAAGGACAAAATAGAAGCTTTGCTGTTGAGAGCACTCATATAAACAGATGTTCTTCCCTGCGCCTCCACCCAGTTCTTTTCTTCCTACAGGACTCAGACTCTCTTGGATAGAAATCTTCATCCCCATGAAACACTGCCATGTTGTTCTCAAAGACAATGTGGGTGAGTTCTCCATCCTGATGATGTGAAATTGGTTTCCTTGGAACATCTGGTACAACCAGACCATCTGGGCTGGCCCCCACTGTCACGCTGTTATTTCTGCCTGTGGCTTTAGGGCCGCAGGAATCAATGACTGTGAGGCAAACCTTGACAAGATCATGTTTCAGGGCGTCTCCCTGTGGTAGAAAGAACATGACCCCATGTTCTTTCCATGCCTGTTGGAACACGAAAGTACACGTTCCTGCCACCCAAGCTCTGGCTGTGCATGTGGCCTTGCCAGCTAAGAACTATGCTTGAGGCAGGAGATAAAGTGTTGTATCTTCTGGGATCCTTGAGCAGATTCCAGGGAAAAGATCATGAAGCCCTGTGTTACAAAGTCTCCCATTCCATTTCAAAGAACCTCCTCCAAACCTGCTGTTAAAAGCATCACTGGTCCAAAGACCCAAATGGAGAAGAGACTTGGGACCTCAGAAGCGTCGGTACCCCACGTGGTTCAGCCAGTCTCTCTAATGCTGTTCAGCAAGCCTGCAGCAGACAGCGTCCTGGCCACCAAGTTGCCAGAAACAAGTGAGAAGGATCTGAAAATAGCCTCTTCCTCAACCTCTATAGAAACATCGGTCTTTGACACAATGTGGCCAGAAAACCCAGAAAAAAAGTACTTTTGCCTGGGCCTCAGGCAGCAGAGAGGTCCCTTCCAGCATTGCAAGTTCCGTAACGAGCTCCATGGTGACCACCAACCTGGAAGTTTGGTCCTCACTTTAGAATGGGGAAGACTGGAGAACACTTGAGAAGATGGACCAGCCTTTGTGGACTCACCAGGATCAGCTAAACACTCAGATTTGGGCTTATGAGAAAGAATGACATCTTGGGAAGGGGAGCTGCTTTCTCTCAGCCCCTCTCGGGAGCGGAAAGCTTCCTGGAGGGTACAAGCAGCTGTGTGTACAGACTAGCCTCTTGCCTGACGACACGCCGTGCTTCCCATGGGGACAGCCTGGGCAGGCTTGGCCACTGAGGCCTGATTGTCCCTAGAAGGCAGGCCAGATCCTATTTCTGTTACCACACAGCTTTCTCCTGTCTCCAGTTCTGCTCTTCCTGTGTCACAAGCTGAATGCTCTCTGATTGACTTGCTTTGGGGAATTCCTACAGACATCCCAAATTCTGCCATCAAGGGGCTTGCTTGCTTAAGAGCCAAGCTCATCTCCAGTGAGGCGAGAGTCACCGTGGCAGATGCATCTCTGGGTGGCAAAGCGTTAATACCTACTGCTTTCTCCCATGGCCTTCCAGTAGCTACTTCTGAGGTGAAGTCATATGTTCTCCCTGGGATGGCCTTATCAGCCCTCCCTGAGCCAGGACAGACGGCTACCCTGCCCCATGGTGTGATCTCAGAGGGCATCTTCTCAAAGCACCATGGCGATTTTACAGGAAGAGACTCAACGCATACTTCTTGGAGTCCAAATGGTCTGGCCACAGAACCGCTGGAGAACCTGGCCAGAGTGATGCTGACAGTGGCCCCTCACCAAGCTCCTGTAGTCACAACTGCCCCCTAGTATGTTCCCCAACCTACACTGGTGTTCCCACCGTCTGCCTACCACAGAGAACCCAGAGCACTAGAGGGGACCATGGGAATGTCTACACTAGCTGCATGGTGGCTGTCAGGTTCACAGTTGCCTCCAGATGTCCTATCTGAGACTAGAGGGAGATAGATAACCCCCTCGGCTTTTTAAGTCCAGTCATGCCCCAGGGCTTGTTCAGGCAAAGAGAGAGAGTGGCTGCTGGCAGCTTCTCTGCTGAAGTCCCTGGGAGCTGTGATTCAAGCTTTCTGCAGACTGATGTGGAGTGCCTTCTGCAGAGCTCAGTGGCTTTTCTGTCTCCCTCCCCAAGCCAGAGTGAAACAGCAGACATCTAGAAGTCTAGTGAGTACTTCCTGGTCTGGGCCCAAGGAAGCTGTTCCTAGTGGGGCAATAGCTGGTCCTTACTACTTGAAGCCCCGTGGGAAACTGTTCCCAGCTGCTTCATACAGCAGAGGCAGCACAGAAGGAGCAGCCTCCTTGGTGGAGGAAGATTGGGTGATGTGCTGCATCCCTTTAGCTCTGGGCTAGCTCCTGGGTTCTGGCTTTCTCACGCTCTGGGATCCTTCCCTGGGTGTGAAGCTCCTTCAGGGTCAAAGACATGTGCTACTGCATATGGCTGCTGCATTGGTCTTGGAGCTGTTAACTGGCTGGGCAGTGAACTTCTCTGGGGAGTCCCTTGAAGAGCATACCGACATGGCCACTCACCCTCAAAGGGGTTGCTTTAAAGGAAGCTAAGCTCTGAAAATCTACCCATTCCCTGGTACAGGAGTGGAAAGACTTCACCTGGATCTGCCAGGTTCCCTTCCTAGCTTTCCAGAGAACCCCCTGGGAAAAGGATCCAGGCTGTGGGCTCCTGCTGTTCCATCCATCTGTCCCCCCTGAGAAGAGGGTGAATCCTCTCTGGTGGGTGCTGCTTTTTTCGTTATCTATGAAAAAGCTTTAGTGTTTTATTTGTTCACCTCTTTCTCTGTATTTCAAACCACACTTCTCTATAGGGTTTTTTTTTGTTTGTTTGTTTTTGTATTTTTAGTAGAGATGAGGTTTCACCATGTAGGCCAGGCTGGTCTTGAATTCCTGACCTCAGGTGATCCACCTGCCTCAGCCTTCCAAACTGCTGGGATTACAGGCATGAGCCACTACACCCAGTCTCATTATAGTTGTATTGGGTACATGACTCTAAGTTGAAAACTTTTTCTCTCAACATCTTCCAGAAATTATTCCACTCTCTCTTGTTTCCATTGTGGCTATGGAATCTAAGCGACATTTCTTCACGGTGATCAATCCTGTCTCTCTGATTTTAAGATCTTTTTGTCTTTAAAGTTTTGCAATGTCCTTATGTCTGTGTCAATTCCTTTTTTATTTTAAATTTTGCTTGAGCATACTAAGTTCTGGATGTTTATTGTTGGACAGCAAACTGCCCCAAAACTTAGTGGCTTAAAGAAACAACCATTTTGTCACCTCTTAGTGGCTCAGAAATTTAAGCAAGTATCAGCTGGGCAATTCTTCCACCCCACATGAGATTGACTGCAGTATCCTGGTGGTGTTTACCTGAAATCTGGGCTTGTCTGGAGGGTTCCAGATAGCTTTGCTCACATGTGTTTACAACATGAACATCAGTGGGGACAGCTGGGAGGCTGCGTGCAGATGTGTCCCTCCTCCTTTTACACAGTCTTGAGATTTATCTAGTCAGACTTCTTACAAGGCCTTTGGCTCTCTCCAGAACAAGAGACAAAGATGGAAACGAAATGTTACATTTTAGAATCCTGTGAGGATTAAGTTAAACTTTCCCCCCAGTACTCATGTTCTGAAGTTGGTAGTTTAAGGGGGCTAGTGGAGCCCAAGAAGCTGATTTTGCTCCAGATAAGTAAATGCATATCCTGGGCCCCCCTTGAGTTTAGGGGACAGGTGGGAGTTTCTGCACCAAAGTGACCATTGAAAAGAAATGAAAAGAAGCCTGGCAAGCCCGGCCACTGTGACCTGGGCGCTCTGTATCTGCTGGGCACTCTGTAGGGAGTCACTTTCCGATGCTGTGCAGAGCAAAAAACATAATGGTAGCAACTTAGTAACTTTCTAAATAAGTCACCACTATTTGTTTCTGGCCATGCCTTGTATGGGAGCAGTGACTGCACTTCCACGCTTCTGCTTCTGCCAGGAGTTGCTCATTTCCAGGCCGCAGGCTGGAATGAACCAGTTTCACTCAACGCAAAGCTGTTCCCAAGGAAAACGTGAGCTCGATGGCAGCACTGCTCAAAAGCTTAGTTTATCTTGAGTGTATCTTTCCCCCTCCCTTCTTTAATCACCCTTCCCAGCTCTGAGTTCCCAAACTCATATCTTAGGCGGCAGTGGCTCGTGAAGATGAGAATAGCCCCTTGCTCTTACTATAGCTTCTAGAAACATGGTAGTCTAAGAGCTTATGAGTGGGATGAGGTCATCTTGCTGGTTCATCAGATAATGGTTGAGCTTCTGTAACCCTAAATATTTTCATTTCAAATAAAGTTGTTAAGCCCAATCAGAAAAAAGAGGGAAGAAAAAGTTTTGGGTAAGTGTAAGCTCTTAAGAGATACTGGGAGCTTGGAAGGATCCAGGAGACACTCCCATTTATTTCTGGAGTTCATATATTTATTTATTTTAGAGGCAGGGTCTTATTCTATCACTCAGGCTGGAGTGCAGTGGTGTAATCATGGCTCGCTTCAGTCTCGAACTCCTGGACTCAAGTGAACCTCCCACCTCAGCTTCCCAAGTAGCTGGGACTACAGACCCACACCACCAATTAATTTAAAAGAAAACATTGCAGAGATGAGGTCTCCCTATGTTGCCCAGGGTGGTCTCGAACTCCTAGCCTCAAATGATCCTCCAACTTCAGCCTCCTAAAGTGCTGGGATTATAGGCACAAGCCACTGCGCCTGGCCACCTTTCTGGAGTTTAATAATGGAGATGTGTCAGAACATGTGAACTTATGATGTGGTTTCAAGAGCAACCCCATCTCTCACTCAGGCTGCAGTCCATGCATGCAGCAGGTGGGCTGTGCTTATTGCAGTCCTCTGGGCACCAGCCTGACAGTTATTGGTTACCGGGCCTGAGGGGAAGCACTCTGGAGGGTCTTCGCACTGGCAGTTAAGTACTCTGGACAGAAATGACAGTCACTGGTTGGAAGTGATCTTACAACCAGGCCCAACACAAGAGTTGTAAAAGACAATTTTCTTATGTCTATAGGGGAAAGAGCTGGAAGTATTTGAACAGTTTTAGAGTTAGCAACAGGAACTGACTGTGTTGGCCATTAGGGCTTTAGTTCAAACTGAAGCTCAGACTTTTAATCATTTAGTGGGCTTGAAGGCCACAAACGCAGGGTTTCATAGTCTTGCTCTCCTGTTCCAGCCGAGAGAAATTGTCTGTGTTTATTTTGTAAAAAGCCCTTTTTAGCCACTGTAGTATCAAGAGGCAGCTTTGGAGGATGGATGATAATTGGGATTAGGAGCTGGGATCTGTATCATAGGCTTGGCTGTTTCAGAATTACTTGGAGAATACAACCTAGGGTTGCAAAGTAGAAGTAGCAGATCACGGGAGGGTTAAGTCCCCCTTTATTTTGGCACAGTCATGTCCTACCTGATACAACTCTGTTTCAAGTACCATACTTTGAAGGCAGCTTTATCAAGCTGAAACCCAGGGACAGTTACCAGGGGAGGTGGGAGTCTTGGGAATCGGAAGGGATTACTTGGTAGCTGCTCTAAGTATTGGAAGAGCTGTCAGAAGTTTCTTCCTTACTGGCGAGGAACTTACCTCTTTGTAGTGAGATGAATTGGACTGCATTGGAGGTGGTGTGCTCACTACTCTAAGTGACCAAAGAAGCTGGAGAAAGGATTTGACCCAAGTATAGAGAGGAAGCGTGGGTGCCATGGTGACTCCTCAGGTCCCTCCCACCTCTGTCATGATATTTCTGTATTTTTTTCTCAGAAATAAACCTTTCCTCATAGGGGAAAGAGTGAATGCCACTTGAGCCCTCACTATATAAAGACATGGCTGCTCACAAATGCTCCACTGCGAATTCCTCAGGAATCTTGAAATTGGTCGTAGAATCTCCATTTTACAGGTGAGGTGACTGAGGTTGAAAATGAAGGAAGCCAGCTTTCTAGCTATGTGACCTTGGGCAACCTCTCTGTTTAGTCTCTGTAAAATACAAAAAATTAGCCAGACGTGGTGGCAGGTGCCTGTAATCCCAGCTACTGGGGAGTCTGAGGCAGGAGAATTGCTTGCACCTGGGAGGTGGAAGTTGCAGTGAGTTGAGATCACACCATTGTACTCCATCCTGGGCAGCAAGACCAAAACTCAGTCTCAAAAAAAAAAAAAAAAAATTAAAAATTAGCAAGCATGGTAGTGCACACCTGTAGCAATGCCTTTTGCATGACTTGATAGCATCTCATAGGGTCGTGAGGATTAACCAGTTTATAGGCAGCATTTTGAACATCAGTACTTTGGCACAGAATGTGTGCTAAATATGCTTCATGTATTTACTGCCACAATCATGATCAATATCTGAACTAAGTTTGAGACACTATAGGAAGCAAAACTAACTTCTCTCTCCCTTTCTTCTGTCGTCCAATATAGATGCAACAATATTTTCCTCACTTCCTGGAAATGGCTCTGCTCTAGCCTCACAACATTATCCAGGAGGTAAGATCTCTTAATTGGGGAATACTAAATATATTCCCAATCTATTGATCATGTTTAGAGACCTGAATCCCCATAAACCCATCTTTTAAACTAATGGCAGAAAACAGGTGTGTACTCAGGATGCAAAATCTTTGACTAGTCATGTCAGGAAATGGACAAAATTAATCTTTCTGATCCAGATTTCAAGCTGTATACTGTCCCAACTTTACATATGCACCAATTCAACATGTTTTTTGTTGTTTGTAGTGTATTATGTCTAAGGTTTTATATTTCTCAGGCTTAATCTGAACAACAATATTACCCAGGGGCCATTGTCTCCAAATCCATTCCCAAGTCTAGTATAAACTTAAACATAAAGCATGTTCTCATCTTGCATGTAGGTCAGTTTGAGGGTAAAAATCCCAACCAGCATGTGATACTGAAGCACTATTGGGATGCTTTGTTGATGGGGCTTTTTCTTCCTCCCTGTCTTCTGCAGATGTCTTAGCGACAGTGATGGTTAAGGTAGAGCACCTCCAAGAATCTGAGTGTTGAATCTTCCAAAGTGTTCAAATATGTGGTAAGATAAATTAAGCAGAAGGTAAGTTGAGGGTTGGACTGTGTGCTGTTGGCCTCTTGTTCTAGCGACAAGGTCAGCAGTCCCTGTGGGGATCTCAGTTCCTGCCCCCACACAGGCATGTGTACACATACTCACATGCACACAGACACTCCTGGCTTTTGGTTCTTTCCCAGGTAGGAAACTGTTCTTTACACCTTGACTTGCTGATCTGTCTTCTAGCAGGGATCCAAGAACGTTACTGAGGGGCAACAGGACTTTGGGTGGGGGTAACAGACTGGGATTGAGGTGATCAGATTCTAGTCTCATATGAGTCCCTAATAGGGTTTTGGACAAAATCTCCATTCTGAATTTGTTTTCTTAGCTCTATAAAGTCCACACATAAGTTTAACAAGGTTTTGGTTCTAGTTTCTAACTCACTGAGACCTAATTGATGTGGAACACTATTTCAGTCATTACCACCAGCACCAGCATTGTTACTCTTTCTCTGAACTGGTGGTTGACCTGTTTTGGAGAAGTGATTGTGAAGATTAAATGAGTTAATATGACAAGTTTCAAACAGTGCATCGGCATGGCATATAATACAATCTATAAAGTGTTAGTAGTGATGAGAAGACATTGCTTACAGGGTTGTGAATTGTGATATGCCTCTTGGAAAACAGGGCAACAGACATATCAAGAGCCAAAAACAAATGGCTCTCAAACCAGAGATCCCACTTCCAGAAATCCCAAAATATATAACGTTGGAAAACTCATACCAAACATATTCATCACAGGATTATTACATACATTTTAAAATGAGTGGCTAACAAGATTGAATAAATTAGGAGACCATCTACTTGACTGACTCCTTTGTAGCCACTAAAAGACTAATAGCAACCCAAAAAAAAAAAGAGAGAATACAAACCTGCACGCCTTTGACATAACTACAGTTATGTAGTTATATAGTAATATACAATTATGAACACTGTAAAATTGACATATATCCTGGAGTATGTGGGCTTTGGCATTATGAGTCTTCCTTTTTCCTTCATAGCTAACAAGGAGGTCTGCAACATATGCTACAGGTAGTCAAATACAACCAGAAGTGGGAACAGAAGACACAAAGGCTCTTTACTTTTTGTCAAGACCCGACTTGACTTTAATGATCAGTAAGTATCCACTTAGCAGTTCTTTCTTGGAATTAGTTGCCTTTAACTTTTGTTCTTAAAGTCTGTTCAGAAGAATACACTCCTAATAGAGATACGCAGCAGCTGTCTACATGATGCCAGGGTTCACTGGGTCTTTTTTGGCAACACTCCAAAGTATTCTCAATCCGAAGGCAGCCTCCACAATCCGTTGGTAGGAATGCGTTGACTGTTGACTAGTACTCATAACAAACAAAGATAGTCTTATGCCTTCATAATCTCTACTCTTGCTTGCAGATCTTTGGGGAAAAAAACTATTCACTCCAAAATGATGAAAGCAAGCTAGCTAGAATGGAAAAGTAAGTGTTCTTGAGGTTTAGTAGTTTTATTCAAGATGTGCTGGACCAGGTGTGGTGACTCATGCCTGTAATCCCAGTACTTTGGGAGGCCGAGGTGAGAGGACCACTTGAGCCCAGGAGTTTGAGACCAGCCTAGGCAATATGAAGAAATCCTGTATCTACTAAAAATACACATATGCAAACATTAGCTGGGCATGGTGGCACGTGCCTGTAGTCCCAGGTCCTGGGAGGCTAAGGTGGGAGAATTGCTTGAACCCAGGAAGCAGAGGCTACAGTGAGCTGAGATCATTCCACTGCACTCCAGCATAGGTGATGGGAGTGAGACCCTGTCTCAAAAGTGTTAATGTGGTTATTACACTTTGGGGGAGAAAAAAGCCATATTCACTTCTACTATAGCTCAAGTATCTGAAATAAAAGGGAAAAAAAAAACCCATCAAGTGTTAAAACTAGAGTGTCAAACAAGCTCTTGATCAGTTTTCCCTTCCTTGTAGTAAATGGGAGAAGAGCCTGGTAAAACACAATGAACTGCGGCCAGGGTCACTACTGTTTTGAAGAGTATGATCAAAAATCTCCCTGGCTGGGCACGGTGGCTCCCTCCTATAATCCCAGTACTTTGGGAGGCTGAGACAGGAGGATGCCTGAGAATAGGAGTTCAAGACCAGTCTGGGCAACATGGCAAGACTGTATCTACAAAAGAATGCAAAAATGTTAGCCACACGTGGTGGCACATACCTGTAGTCTCAACTACTTGGGAGGAGACGATCGCTTGAACCCAAGAGTTCAAGGCTGCAGTGAGCTATGATTGCGCCACCACACTCTAGCTTGGATGACAGAGAGAGACCCTGTCTCTTAAAAAACAAACAAACAAACAAAAACACTCCCTGTGTTAAACCTGCATGTGAAAAATCAGTTTTTTTCTATAGAAGTGAACTAAGAAATAACTTAATGGAAAAGAATCTTGAATTTAAACAACGTAAATTAATGAACGCAATAGTCTATGATAGAGTTTCATAACTTTACTGTCTACTCTTAGAGGCTTTAAAACAATGTAACCTTTGTCTACCAAGTGATATTTAGATTGTTTTCTTCTACTCCCCTCCAAAACATTCCTGGAAAAGACGCTGTGAATGTCACATATGCTTCCTGGCTACACTTGAGGTCTCAAGGAATGGATGTACCTGATTCCCTGTCTTACCAGATAAAGACACTCATTGAGGTTGCTCTAGGAACCCACAAGGTGGAGAAGAGGTGCCCCTTCCTTGAAGGTATGGATAGGTCTCTTGGCTGCCAGTGGCCAATGGCATGTGCCACACTTGGATTAGGCGTGATTCAGCCAGGATCAAGTCGAACTAGGCAAAGTCCCCCAATGGAAGGCCATGTCATTTCCCATGGAGAACAGACCCTTTCTCAGTCTTCATCGTGGGAATGTTATGCTTCTCTCCCAACCTGAGGAAGAATTGGCTATTAATTCATCTATGCATGTAATATATTGTATTGCATTTTACTATGGGCAAGGCGTTTTTTGGAACACTGGGGAGTCAATAGCAGACCTAAAAGGGAAATCCCTTCTCTCATGTGCTTCACAGTCTAATCAGGAGCTAGACCAGATAAACTAGAGTATCTGAGTTGATACGCTTTATGAAAAACAATCAGATAAAGGGGATAAATTGGGTTTTGTGTATGTGCATGTATGTGATAATAGTCTTTAAAATATGGTAAGGGGAGGCCTCCTTGAGAAGATGATGAGGGAGAGCCATGTAACCCTTGGGGGAAGAGGCTTTGGATAGTGCTGAGGCTCTGCGCAGGGCTGTGTGTTCAAGGAACAGGTGGAGGCCAGGAAGAGAAGGAAAGGGCAGCAGAGGAGCCTTCAGGACACCCTGAGAGATAGTGTGATAGAAGGGACTGGACAGTAAGACTGGCCAGAACACCTATTTCTTCTGTCTTTAGATGTGAACGAGTCTGAGACTGGCCTAGAGCTCTTTGGCGATTCTTGCTGCCAAGAGGACTGTGAAGTCCACGCCTCCATGCAGCCTGGCATGCTGTATGTGCGTGCTCCCTGCCTGGGTATTGGTTGCTTAGGCACTCTGCCACTGGCTGTGTTTACCAGCTGCTGGAATCTCCTGGAAGACCTGTACCCTGAGCAGGTCAGGGTGGAGCTCTTATCCTGATGCCTTTGGCCACAAAAACCAAATAAAACATTTTATGAAGGATACGGACGAAGTCCAGGAACTGTTCTAGAACTTGGAACATGCTGTAAGGTCATTTATTATGAGAATGTTCATTGTACTGAGTTTTCTTTTGCAACTTTACCTTTGGAATACTTCCATAGGATGCTATTCCTGACTCTGATAAAGGTAGACGTGAGTAGGAATTAACTCGAGCATCCGGTTGTTTCCCCGAGGCTCGTTCGTGACCCTTGCTTTTGTCTTGCTTTTTTTCTTATCAAAGATTACATTGGGCAGAGGCTTGCACTGGAAAATCGATGTGAGCTCCTTGTGAGTGGGTCCAGCATAGAGCAGTTGGTAATGAATTAACGGATGCCCTTAGCCTTTTTAAGGACTTACTGCTGGTGCTGGTAATTCATTTGGTACAGTTACCTCTGAAATAATGTAACCTGCCTGTGCTGCCACAGACAGATCAATAGACATGATTTTTATTTCCCATCTTGCTAACTTGCTGTGTGACCTTGGTGCTCGGGTCTTGCATATCCCTGTGAAACAAAGGATTAGATTAGATGTTGAAGGCTTTGTTTAGATCTTTGAATGTTAGATGCTGAAATCCCAGCAAAGATGCCATTTAGCACAATCTTTTTCCACTGGACTCTAAGGGTAGGTGGGTAATCTTGCAATGCTATTTGCAAGTTTTTGTTTTTTTTTCTTGAGGGAGGAGTTTCTTAGTTCTTATATGTCAAGAGAAGATTGAGTTTGGCATTAAATAGAAGCTCAGTATATAGCAATTGAATTTCTCATGGTTAGAAATCGACTTGTAACTGAGTTTTTAAAATACTTTCATGTTTTTTTCTTCTTCCCCTGCCCTCTTAAGTATCCAGATAAGTCAGTGACAAGACTTAAGTTGGACCAGGGTCTGTGAGGCAGTCATCTGGAGCTTGCAGTCATCTAGCTTCTGTGGATTTTGCCCTAAAGATAGTTTCTAGTTCTTTGTGTCTATATAAACTATCTGATGGTAGAATACATTCTGAAATACAACTGGCCTTTGTGCTGCTCTGGGTACATCATCTCAAATGTAACAGATTCTTTTTGAAAATAAACAATTTTTGATATGCATAAAATGAAAAATATTTAATCGTCAGCTCTCAGGCAATTTATATTTGGCATCACAAAGGGATGTTAGGTGTTTTCCAAAGTTAACTCTGTGTGCATGCATGGGGCTTTTCAAGGAGCTATATAGCAAAAATAGGTGGGAAGCCCTTCTTTTACCAGGTTCATTTGTTTCAAGTCTGGCTTTGGCTTTTAGTCAAATGTTAGCATTTGTTTATTTTCTCAAGAAATACTTACCTGTGATGTGCCTGACAACATGCTAGGAATGGGTATGAGAGTGTAAATTTCTGAAGGTGCTTTTGAGAGCCCTTTAGGAAAGGGAATATAAGCCTGTTACTTAGTTCCCTTAATAAAAAATTCCTTTGTGTTTCAGGATTTGGATTATCCTTTAACTACCTGGGCCTGCTGGTTGGAGTTGCTGTGCTTACTGCCATCTTGCATATGTTAGTTATTGGTCTTGTGTGACTTGTGACTAGAACATACATGAAGAAGGCAGATTCTCAGGGTCAGAACACAACATCACAGGAGTGCCCACCTACAGCACCTACTTTTGATCTGAGGAATCTTTTTTTTTTTTTTTTTTTGAGACACAGTCTCACTCTGTTGCCCAGGCTGGAGTGCAATGACACAATCTCAGCTCAAAATCTCTGCAACCTCTGCCCCCTGGGTTCAAGTGATTCTCCTGCCTCAGCCTCCTGAGTAGCTGGGACTACAGGCATGCACCACCACACCTGGCTAATTTTTTGTATTTTTAGTAGGGATGGGGTTTCAGCAAGCTGGCCTGGCTGGTCTCGAGCTCCTGGCATCAGGTGATCTGCCTGCCTGGGCCTCCCAAAGTGCTGGGATTACAGACATGAGCAAGTGCTCCTGGCCAATCTGAGGAGCTTCTGTAAGCTCCCTCCTTTCACCCCCTGCCAACCTAAGCTGCATGCCAAGATTCCAGATGGTCCTCAGGGCAAGAAGGTTTGTCAGAGATGGGAACCACAGGTGTGAAGGGAACAATCAGAGAGGGTCTGAGGGCTGCTGCCTCCCTGATGCCTGTCTATAAAGCAGGGTGGGAGAGAGGACCACCTGTTGGAGGTGAGAAATTCACCATGCCATCAAGTCACACAGAT